CGAAATGCATGGAGAGTCCGCACAGATTGTAGAAGTGGAAGTTTGGTCTCCGCAAAGGGAAATCAATAGTTGTTTTATTTCGGACAGTGGTCGAGAGAGTCGCGTCCAAACAGAAGCGGGGAGGAGATCGATATTGCGCAGTGACCATCACAATAACGATCGACGTCAAGAACACATTCAATAGCGCCAGCTGGGAGGTCATCGTCGAATCGCTGCATAGAATGAGTTTTATTTGTTAATATGACTACATGGTAATAACAGCAACTCGATGATTAAGAAGGAGCTCGTTTGACTAGTGGCAAACGTGTTTGCTTACTGAGTAGAAGACCGTGGGTTCAATCCCAAGCTTCTTCGCGTTATATGATCGTTAGGACATCAATTCAGCTTATCGTTAACCAAAACGAACCCTCATGCAAACCCAGTGATTCCTCGTGGAAGTGCAGAGGACTTGTCGGTTCCCATCGAAGCGAGTGTCACGTCAACAAATTCCTATTCATTCCTTTCTTGACCTCAGCTGTTCCATTTCAAATGACGATTTTTTTTTTAATTTTTTGATCGACCTTCTACGATTATGTTGAAACTTTGCACAGTTGTTTGTTATTGCCCAACATGCCATGTTTTGTACACGACTAACACTTGAAAAGGGCTTATGCAAAAATGATACGCATCAATAGAAAAACATATATCTTGCGAACGATTTGTTTGATTGAGATGGTGTCTTCGAAGAAGTTGCGGACAAGTATTGTGTCTTTCAAGAAAAAATATACACTGTAAAAAATTATAATTTTTTTTACATAAAAAATCAAAATTATCAAAAAAATATATCAAAAGAGCGAAAATTTCTTAAAATATGCGATAAGTGAATTTTAACCTACGAGTATCTCGAAAATAACAACTTTGGGCAATTTAAATTTAATGTGTTTTAATATTAACACTATTTTAAAGATATTCGATAACTTTTTTTTTCTTTATTTAACGTCGGTCTCTGTTCCGCAATCTAGTGCCAATCACCGACGGACATCGATTGCCATCCATTGACGGCAACCGAATGTGCAGGAAGGCAGCTTCCACACCTGCGTAGGATATCGCACCCATTCACAACAACACACATGGGCCGGGACCAACGGCTTTACTTCCCTTCCGAAGGAAGACGTGACCAGAGATTTTTATGCCTCAGAAAAATCCCACCGACCTCGACTGGGATTGAACCCAGACCCATTGGGGTGTTAGAAAGCACGGTTTTTTTTCACACGGTTTTCCACGATTTACACGGTACGTTTTAAACGATTTCTCGACTACGATACAACCTATCGACTTGATTCTAATCACATTATCCGTTTCAAGCTATAGGTAATCGAATGGCATACTAAAAAAAATCACAATTTTTGGTGTAAATACAGAATTTTTTAAAATATGTCTATATGGACCATATCATGCTTTAATTACAAATGGCATCAAAATCCGATTTTTTAAAAACATTTAAGCATGCGAAAAATCAATATCTCGTAGGTTTTTTTTACACGGTACGTATCCTCCGTGTAAAAAAAGACCTGAGTGTATGTGTCTATTTCCAATTCTAGTTAATACACATCGAAAAAAACACCTATATTTCGTCCTTATCCGTGTTTATGAACATTTTTTACGCGAATCTTACCGTCGAAAACTTTTTTTTTGCACGTAAAAACATTGACAAATGAAATTAAAATTCAAAATAAAATCTGATTTTTTTCTGATATTTTATAAAAATTTAAGTGTAAAGCATGGCCCACTTAGTAATGGAACAACATCTATTTCGGATTTCAAATAACGGATTTGAAAACGGTTTTCACTCAAGTGCATACTATTCCTTATATTGTAAGAAAAACATTTTGATGACTGTACCTTTTACCTTCAGTTTACTCTTTATAATTGCCAGGTAGTTTTCAATAGGCCTGAACTGGGACAATTGGGACAAGCTGGATTCCGTTGTCATTGTACCATTGTTGTACTTCCCAGCTGTAGTGCCAACTCGCAAGATCCGGCCAAAATGTCACCGGACCATCATGTGACTGGATGAAGGGCAGTGACGAAAACCTTTGTCTTCAGGCCGCAGCTGTAAAATCCTTGCCAGAACATATATTTGCGTGACAATTTATCAGCAAAAACAAATTTGAATCTGCTAGGAACACCTCCTCGAGCCTTCGCCTTGTAAATGTTAGTTCTGGGAGCTGTCCGAAGTCGGCCTTTACATAGGTTTTAGCATCCATAAGTATGCACCCACCAGACTTGGTCAGCATGTTTTTTCTTTTTTTTATTAATTTATTTGATAAGGCTCAACCGAATTAACTTTACAGAGCCGAGGATTCTTTTTCACTATACAATGCATCTTAAAACTATAGTCAAAAGTTACAACACAATAAACATTTTATCTTCCGCTATTCAATAAGCCTGCTCTACCAGAACGGGAGCCGCTTCCAGTGGTTTACTTGTATGGCAGATTCGCCAACGAGGGTCAGTGCGCTTCCATTATAGTAATGGACGCAAAACGTGGTCATCACTCACAACTTCACCACGAAACGTTTGCTTTCCAAAGTCGACGATGCTGATGAAGAACAATGAGGAGGACCACACAATGGTTGCTGCCGAGTAAACAGACGATCGCGTGACACACATTGAGAGTGGTATGGTTCTGTCTACAGTCGAGTGAACACTGGTCAGCAGGTTGTAATACAGCTTTCGAGCAAGGATTCTGACTACGATATTCTGCTTGAGGGATCGATTTGGATGCCTACTGGCATGGTATGCCTACTGGCATGGTATGCCTGTAAGCCTTCGTGGTAGCGAATTCGCTGCACTGTACTATGGGTGGCATCAGACTTTATACTCAAATCGCGTTCGGACATACCTGGGTTGCTTCTGATGAACCTCACGACCTTTCCATGGAACTGACGGTTGGCAGTTCCACTTCGGCGTTTACTTTGAAGCTTCCGATTTGTCGTCAAAGTTTCTCTGTACGTTTTGAGCACGCGCCATAAGGTGTTTCTAGGAAAATTCGACACTTTAGCATGGACGCGGACCACATTGGATTTTCCAGGTGACTCAAAGAAACATATGAATGGGGCTTAGGATTAGAAATCAATTCTCATTGTGCAAAATCCGGTGAATCAATATGGTTCATGGTCAATAATGGCGCCGGATACGTCCTTACGATCATCGGAGAGGAAAAGGATTGTTGGTTCGGCACTCGTTGTTAGTAGAGACCGATAGTACCTCTGGTACCTCTGGATCTCTACGGTTGTCATGGGAAAAACGTTTTTGTTAATGGGAAGGGTGAATTAGATCTGGATTAACTTGGGAAAGTGATGCGATCTTTAAAAACATAGTAAGCACATGATGCGATTATATCAACTCAATAAAGTAAAGGAGCTTGAGTTCTAACCCACGATCTTCTGCTCAGTAAACAAAAGTGGTCACTGTAAGGCAACCGTACCCCTCAAATCGTCTAAAGAGCGGAGATCGAGAACAAAGATAATACATTTATAAGAATGTTTTTCAACTGGAACAAACTCACCAAATCTAGCCATGAGCGATGTCTATGACATTAAGAATTAAAATTACACTTGATGGCATATAACGATTCGGAGCTCTTCCAACGTATACAACATGACAGACGAGCCCGAATCATTCTCCAAGATAACCACCGACAAATCTGGCCAATGCATGACCATCATTCCGCGCACATGATTGTACCATTGTTGGCCTAATAGTTTAGTGAACTACTTCACCCTAAGCGACCATGTTATGCCATATTGAGCAGAAAAACATCAAATAAATCTATGATTTCGGCGTTTACAAGTCATTTATGCATTTGGTACGATAATTTAGCGCAAAATCTACCGAACGAAGTCAAAAGGTACGCGTGATATGTATGTTTGTACTTATTATTCTCTAAAACAAAAAAAGCGCTCCGACCAAATCAATTTTTATCTTCATCCGATAGGCCGAAGTGAATTCAATATTTTTGGACAGCTGAGCACCCCCCTCCCCCCCTCCTGCCATGTAGTTGCACGGTTTTCAGATGTATCCCTAATCAAATCCCGCAACATGTCGAATGCACTTTTATATTCTGCTGATCATATGTATCTGCTTTTCAGTATCCTTTCCCTAAAACTATACCAAATCTAAAAAAAATCAAATCCTACAGAATGTTTCTATTTTCTTAATACCGTTCAAAAATGATCGAGATTGGTAACTACCAAGCGACGGTAAGAAGAATTGCACCCAAATATGCATTGGTTTCACCGCTACCTACGTTGACCGCTACTGTAAACGTGTAAACAATGCTGCAATACACAGCCTGTAACAGGGTCATGACTACTCGCATGCAATAACATTTCCTTCCCCAAAACCTTTAAAGGTTCAGTTTGCAGTTCAAAAACCAACCTACATACAGGCATATAACAACGGATTAAAATGAATAGATTGAAGAAGTGAATTTGCCTCCTTGATACGAGTAAATTCAGACGAAATATTTTGCTTTCTTCCATCATTGCTCAGGCAAACAAAAAACAAATACAAACATCACAACGCAAGCGACTGACGATAACACAGAATAATGAAGTGTATAAAAATACTCTTTATATATTTAGGTGTCTTTAAAAATACTCTCTCTATCCATGGGATTGCATACATGGGACAACCCCATGCGTCGAACTCTCCGGACACCGAAAATACGGTCAATTAACTTAAAATAGATTTTAATATTTCCGTTGTGGGACACAATGTTGGGAATTGTACGCATTGTTAGGTACATATATACACATAGTTTTGTATTTCGCTACAGCTTCCGTTTGACGATTTTCATCATTATTTACCAACATGTGTGTGAAAGAAAATGAAATACAAATTTTTAGCATTTGTTTTTCTTTTTCCCGATGATTTTAACTGCTATGAAATGAAGTACGAAAGAGTAGGTAATGAACCGAGATGTGCGAAAAATGATTGACGTATTGAAGACTTACCTGGTTCTATGGAAACACACTCAACCAATGCCAGAAGTTGAGAGCGCCTTATCAAATCACCAAGGGATACTCGAGAAAATGAGGATGAATTATGAGCTCGGGTTCAAAATCAAACCGATGTATTTATCCACTTGGTATTTAGGGTTTTCAATGTCACTTTAATAATCGAACAGCAGCAAAGATAGCACTTGCACAATGCTTTTTCCTTTCTTTATTTTCACTGATGATCACTTTCCATCCACTGATTCATAAACACACGCATCAATCGCGGCCAGGTTAGAAAATTTCATTCGAACTTTTCGTCTATGGTACCGCTACCTTGCAGCAACTATTTATTTATTCCGTACAATGGTAATCCTGGATTGAGAGCAAACAATGCAAAGAATTTGATTGGCTTTTTGAATGGCGAAAGTCGATAAAAATATTCATGCAGGCGAAGATGAGCGATTGCAAAATATTCCTAGATTTTTTTTCTCTTTCGACTTTCGTCACTGACAGAATAACCATCATCAGCGTGCATGACAGCTGTTTTGCGCGACGAGGACGACGAAAAAGATCATGGTGAGTATATACATGGTGATACAGCTCTGTCACTATATGAGCGAGGAGATCACGGGGTGGGGGGGGAGGGCTGATGTGCGGTTTTAGAGCCAAGTGTAAACAAACTCGATCGCTGCCCCATACAAAAATCCAACATGGCTGAATCATAATTTTGACACGTTAGAACACCTATATGTAGTCACCTTGAAAAAGATGATACTGGACTCAGAGGAGGCGGCAAAAACATACAGGTGGGGGCAGTTTTGACCATGTGGCAGATTTCAAAATAAACACGGAAAAGAATTCTGCCAATATGTTTTCAAAACTTGGCCCCTGCAGGGGATAGAAATCTCCTTTTAGACCTTTTTGACGTTTAATCGTCTTTCTCTTTCTAGCACACATGGATGAATGCATGGTTTGTTTTCCCACTAATCTGCTCGCACTCGTTCGATTTAAATAATGCAGTAGTGTGCGCCGATCAAACGTCAAAAAGCTTTATACCTTTTGGCAAATTTCAATTGCTGATTATTCACTAAGAGGAAGAGGTGACAATTGGTATCTTCCTCTTTTATTTCTATCTCTATCTCTATCTTTGTCTATTTCTATCTCTATCTCTATCTCTATCTTACGCACATGAAATCGGCCAATCAGGAGCTGGTTCACGTTTGACAGTAAAATGGTTCATTTTCGCCCCCATATATTGTCACCTCTTCTCTTAGATTATTCATAAAATGTATAAGTCAACTATTAAGTGTAGTAGATAGAGTTAGTGTTGAATAAATAATGAGTAGAATCAAGTAAGCGTGAAGCGTGATAGTTCGTATGTAAACAGAATCTCATTGGTTAGAGAATTTTGATAGGTTAGCAGGTATAAATATGAAGTACCTAAGCTCGTTGAAGTCATCGATTCTCTGCTTGTACGTCAAGCAGTACAGTTCGGTCTTTGCTCGCTCTGTCGAGTTGTTCTAAAGTTTCTAGTTTGTTCCAAAAATTCGCAGTTTAATCGCGTCGTCAGTAGTGTCGGTCGCTTCGTGTGATGGGAAGACAGCGCTCCCGGAGCAGGCTCCGAGAGAAAACGGAGAAGAAGAACAGCGGTGAGGGTAGCTTGAGTGTACCTATTTCGAATAGGTACGCTACTCTTCCCACCGATGTAGGGAATCCCACCTCAGCCACGGTGAAGCGGTCTAAGAAGAGGAAGAAAAATCAAGGCCAGTCCGATGGTGCGAGTGGACGGGACGATGCCACTGCGACGAACGTCAGCGTCATTGGTGATTTCGGCGACGCCGTCGACAACGAAACTGCTGCCACCCCGAGTGCAGCAAAAATGAAGCTTCCTCCACTGGTGGTGAAGCAAGTCCCACTCAACACGCTGATTGGCGATCTTTCATCGCTGGGCGTTGCAGCTGAGTTTAAGCTCGGCAGGATCGGCACCAAGGTGATGCTCCGAACAAAAGCGGAGTACGAAGTGGCCGTGAAATATCTGAAGGATACCAAGGCGGAATTCTTCACGCACGACATCCCCGGTGAGAAGCCCTTCAAGGTAGTCATCAGGGGTCTACCAAACTTCGACCCCAAGATGGTCGAAGCTGAAATCAACCGGTACAAGCTTGCCCCAATCGCTGTCTTCCGAATGACAAGGAGAGACGAAAACGTGAAGACGTACCCGGATTGTCTTTTCCTGGTGCACTTCCAGAAAGGGACGGTGACGCTCAATGCGCTACAAGCCATCCGATCAATCTGCTCCATCATCGTACGGTGGGAGCCATACCGTGGCGGCCATCGTGACGTAACGCAGTGTATGAGGTGCCTCAATTTTGGACACGGTACCCGCAACTGCAACATCAAGCCACGCTGCAGCAACTGCGCTCAAGAACACGCCACTTCCAACTGCCCTGCGGATGGAGCCGTGGCGATAAAATGCGCTAACTGTGGTGGTGCACATCAAGGTTCCGACAGACAGTGCTCCAAACGCGAGGACTTCAAACGCATCCGAAAGCAGGCGTCAAGCAACAATCAACCAGGACGCAAGAAGGACAAAACCCCAGCATTCAGGACGGAGGATTTTCCGCCTCTTCGTGCTCCCCAGCAAAGGCAAGCGAATTCGCGGGTGCAACCCGCCCCCCCTCAAGAAGCTTCCGGTGATTTTGCTGGCCAAAGCTCTCCATCCCTCCCTGGATTCTGGAGACAACCAACAGCGCAAAACAACAACCCCGATCTGTTCTCAGCGGATGAACTGATGGAAATTTTCGTCAACATGTCCGGTGCTCTTCGTAAGTGCCGCAATAAGCCCGAACAGATCCAGGTGCTCGGTAAGTTCATCATCCAGTATGGCGTCTAAACCGCTAACTATCGTCACCTGGAATGCTTGCTCTGTAAGAGCAAAAGAGATTGAGCTTGCCGACTTTCTCCGCAAGCACAGCATCGACGTGGGCCTTCTAACCGAGACCCATCTAAAGTCCGGCGACAGCTTCTGGTTGCCTGACCACAACATTATCCGGCTTGATCGCACCAGCTCCAGGGGGGGTGGTGTTGCGGTCGTCGTCAAGAAAGGAATAAAATACCACACTCTGTCCCATATCCGCACCTCTATCATCGAGGCCCTTGGTGTGGAGGTGGAGTCGTCGACTGGATACGTCCAGTTCATCGCCGTCTACTGCCCTCGACAGTGTGCCGCCAGCAGTGGACTAGCGGCAAAATTTAAGAAGGACCTGTCCACCATCACCCGTACCGGTTCCCGCTTCGTTGTTGGAGGAGATCTGAATGCTCGTCATGAGGCATGGCGGAACTACCAGCAGAACCAGAACGGTCGTCTGCTGTTCGACCATTCGCAGCATGGGCTGTACTCCGTTTGGTTCTCGGACGAGCCAACATTCATCTCACCGGCAGGCAACCCATCGACGCTAGACCTGTTTCTTTCAAATACCGGCTTGTCCAAGCCGGTAGCCTTAAATGAACTCAGCTCCGACCATCAACCGGTGGTGGCTGAACTGGGATACAACGTAGCTGCTGCTCCAAGCCTGCGCAAGGACTACCATCGCGTAAACTGGGCCCAGTTTGGACGCGTGGTAGACAGGCACATCATCGACAACCCGCCGCTTGACTCCGTGGAGAACATCGACCGAGCGTTGGAAGTACTCCACCAAGCCATAACCGTGGCTGACGAGGCGTGCGTCCGACGAGTTCCAGTGAGGGGTAAGTTTATTGCCATTGATTCCCACACCCAACTCTTAATTCGCCTGAGAAATGTTCGTAGACGCCAGTTTCAGAGGACTGGAGATCTAGCGAGGAAACGTGAAATGGCCAATCTGAACAAGGAGATTGCTTCCAGAATGGTCTCACTCCGGAACGAAAGTTTCGGGCGGCTTGTCCAGAATCTGGACGACCGCTCCAGACCATTCTGGAAAGTTGCCAAGGTCTTAAAGACGCACCCTAAACCCATTCCGCCACTAAAAGATGAAAATGATGACGATCGGCTCATAATCACCCCTCAGGAGAAAGCAAATGCGATTGGTGAGCATATTGCCAAATCGCACTTGCTTGGCTCCAACATCCAAAGTCCGCTCGAAGTTCAGGTTGAGCAATGCGTACTCAACCTTGATTCCTCCCCTTGTGCCATCCCTCCGGAGGATAGAATCACAGTGGAACAGATTTGCTCAGCGCTGAAATGCACCAAAAACATGAAGGCCCCCGGGTTTGACGGAATATTCAACCTAGTGTTGAAAAATCTCAGCATGAAGGTTCACTCTCTGCTGGCTGCTGTCTTCAACAGATGCTTGGAACTGCACTACTTTCCAAGTATCTGGAAGATAGCGAAAATCATACCTATCCGCAAACCCGGGAAGGACCCAACGCTAGCTTCAAGCTACAGACCAATCAGCCTCCTTTCAGCGCTGAGCAAATTGTTCGAGAAACTCATTCTCAATTGTTTGCTCAAGTTTGTCGAGGAAAATAACATTCTCCTTCCGGAACAGTTTGGGTTCAGAAAGGGGCACTCCACCAATCACCAGCTAGTGCGGGTGATGAATAACATCCGAAGTAACAAAGCTGTATCCAAGTCCACAGCCATGGCATTGTTAGACGTTGAGAAAGCGTTTGATAATGTCTGGCACAATGGGCTTGTATACAAGCTTTGTAACTTCAACTTTCCATTACATCTGGTTAAAATCACCCGTAGCTACCTCCAGCAAAGGTCGTTTAAGGTATCGTTGAATGGTTGTCTTTCAGACACGTTTTCCATCCCAGCAGGAGTCCCGCAAGGCAGTCTGCTGGGACCCTCGCTTTACAGCATTTACACTTCCGACATTCCTCCCCTTGGAGACGGTTGCGTGTTTTTCCTGTTCGCAGATGATACCGCAATAGCCGTCAAAGGAAGGATGCCTCGCGAAATAACGAACAAACTTCAACGATGCCTTAACGCCTTTGCTGATTATGCCACCACGTGGAAAATCAAAATCAATGCTTCCAAAACACAAACAATCATGTTCCTCCATCGGCAATCACCCAAACTAAAACCGGCTCCCTCTTGTACTGTAATCATGGATGGCACAAGGGTTGAGTGGTCCGCCGAAGTAACCTATCTCGGGATGTTGTTTGACGAAAAGCTCCTATTCCGCTCGCATGTGGAGAAAACCGTAGTCAAGTGTTCCGCCTTGGTTAGGAGTCTGTATCCGCTGATTTGCCGCAGATCCCGCCTCTCAAGGGTGAACAAACTGGCCGTCTACAAACAAATCGTAGCACCTGCGATCCTCTACGCAGCTCCGGTGTGGGAATCATGTGCACAGACTCACAGGAACAAAATTCAGGTCGCTCAGAATAGAGTGCTGAGGATGGTTCTTGATCGTCCTTTCGACACTAGAATAACAAATTTACATGAAGAGGCAGGCATTGCCAAAATAGATTCCAAAATTAACGAAATTAAGACTAAATTTACACAAAA